GAGTAAAATAAGAGCAAAGACTTTACTATGTGGACAGAGGTAGTTTTCATGGCAAAACAGTGAATTTTTTCTTTTTAATATTTGTATTTTCTTTAAATAGGAAATCCACAATTAGACTTGACCTGGGCTCACAGGATGCATTAAGCCACGGCATTTGATCATGGCTTCACATGTTACGTGAATTGCACCCCTGGGGCTTGTAAATCAGGGTTTACGGTTTTGTATGCTATGTGAACCCAACCAATTGCAATTTCTTCCACAAGTGTAGCTTAGCATGACATGGAAAATCATTTTAGTCTGGGGCGTCTGTCTGATTTGATGCTTTTAGCTGTTTTTATGTTTTTTTCCTAGTTTTGTACGCCGCCCAGAGTCCGCAGGAGTTGGGGGGCTAATAAATTTAAATAAATACAGTACAGTAAATAAAGAGTTCTGATTTCTATCTGCCTGCCCCTTTTGTGGCTATCTACACCAGCAACCGACCAAGCATCTTCTTTTTTTTTCATTTCGGGACGGCAGGAATTGGAGCGATTGCTAGATGGAGCAAGGAATATGGTTTTCGGTCCCTCTTTGCTGTCACCCAGTGGTGTGCTGGACATTTGCAGCCCTCTTTGTAGCTTCCTCGTTGCGGCCGCTTGCAACGAAGACGCGGTGGGAGGAACGCCGGGCTAGGCTAGAGAAGCAGGAAGGACTCTTCCCGCAGCGTTTCAGGCCGACCCACCTGGTTAAACAGCAAAAGCTTCCGAACTGCAGCTCGCTTCGTCAGACGCAGAGGAGCTAACGGGGGAAAACTCCTCCAGCACGAGGGAGCGAGAGATTGCTGAGCCCACAAGCCGCAAAAGGTTTCGGGCAACCTCGGAAGGTCCCGACAAACCCTCCCAGGGGGTTTTAGCCCATCAGGACTGTTCACTGGTAACCTGAACAGGCAACCTGCACATGCGTATAACGGCCTTCTCTTCTTCCCCCCACTCCTCAGTAAATCCCCTTTCGGTCCAGCCACTCCGGGCATCGGATGAAGCGAGCTGCAGGTCATGAAACCTTGTGCCTTTTAATGCAATTGGTTGGCCGGAAGAGGGGCTACCAGATGGAGGCAGGCAGGCAGGAAGGGGAGAGATGGATGGACGGACAGGCGGACAGATGGAAGGAGAGAGAAGGAAGGAGACGGAAGGGAGATGGACGGAAGGAAGGAAGGAAGGAGGCAGGCAGGCAGGACTGGTTAACAGTGGAGATCTGAAAAAGGAAGGAAGGAGGGAGAAGAAAGGAGAGAGGTGGGTGGGTGGAAGGAAGGAAGGAAGGAAGGAGAGAAGAGAGAGATGGATGGACGGAAGGGACTGGTTAAGAGCGGAGGTCTGAAAAAAAGAAGGGATAGCCGTTAGAAAGACCTATGGAAAGCATGGCGAAGGGGGTTCTGTGGGTCCCAAGTACGGAGGTTGGTGTGAACGTTCAAAATTCCATCCTAGAACAAGCGACTCGTATGTAAAATGTGAGAAAACTCTGCCAAAAATTTAAGACAGCAGTTCCAAAATTCTCTATAGTGCAGGACAAACTCAGACCTATTTGCTCACCATTTATTAGCTCCCTTGATTTTTTTTTCTTAATTACATTCTCTTTCCCTGTACGGTAGTCATTTTGGAGAGAAATATCGAATATGGCTTGTATTTCTCCTCAAGACCACGTATACTGTATATAGTACACTTATACAATTATATTCAGCTCTTTTTAAAATTGTTCTTAGGTTTCATTTTCGTTTTCTTTTCATTTTTGCTCTGTGGGGATGGTTATACAGAATAGCTTAGCGGGGGGGAGGGCATTCTGCAAAAAACAATCCTGGAGAAGCCTGTGCAAAAACACCACTGTTCTCCAGCTGTGGCTGCAGTTTAGTCCTTTTATTCCGATCGTTTAAGACATGCCCATCTCTCTTCTGGGTCTTCTGGAGCTGGCTGTACCCACCATAGCACACAGATTATTTAAAACCACCTCTCAGGATAAACCACTTTTCAAGCCGGTTTAAAAATCTCGACTGGGATAAAATAGAATTGAGGCCTGGGTTTGCTTGCTTTTCCTCTTCCTTCCTGTGCAGTTTTCCTTTTGTGCTGCGTCTTGAGAATTGCAACAGTATTATTTTTATGTGGTTGGGAATTCACTTGGGCAGAAGGGCTAGATAAAACAGCTTGATATAAAACAGCTTGAATTAAAGGAATCATGAATCCCTGTGCAAAATTTTCTAATGAACTCTGCCAAATGTAGCCAGGCAGTCTCAACAGGAAGATTAATTACAAATACTCATTGTCAGCATCAACTTAAAAAGTGAAAGATGTACCATCCTAATATTATTAGACCCGAGGAATGTTTTATTTTTTGCTTACCATTTTGTAAATTCATTATCTAATTTTTACAGTTTGTAAATCCCTCTGTTGCTTTTTTCTTCTTTCTTCCTTCTGGTCTCTTAACGTTCTTTCAAAAATAAAATTAAAAAAATTATTTGTGAGGGCTGCAGAGGAAACCAAAGGGCATAGCGGCTTTTGGGTGGCCCCTCCCCACCTGGAAGAAAAGCAAATGCGTGTCCTTTGGGTGAGGGCACCGGCTGGCCCCGGTGCCCACTTCTGGCCAAGCGCTCAAAATATCCAGCAGAGAAGTTCCAAAGACGGGAGCAGGTAAGGGAGATGAATCCCCTCTTAACTGTTCCGTGACCTCCCCAAGTCCGGAGTGTGGGGTGGAAAATGTCCCGTTGTGCAAAGGACAGAATGACCCACAGCAAAGATACGTCTGTCAATCTCGGGTAGGATTTTGTACAAAGAGTCCTGTTGGGGCCGGTGGCTGCCAGTCCTGTCAAAGTCCCAGAAGCAGCAAAGGAACTAAGGCAGGCAGGAATTGAGGTGACCGTTTAAGGCAGTCGGTGAGCAGCACAGCATGGTGGGGGACCCCCAGGCCCCTCATTTCCTGGCGCAGTTTCTGCTTGCACATTGCAAGGGTGGTTTGAGAGACGGTGGTCTTTGGCATCGCCAGAACAGGAGGATCAACGTGCAGCGCTGTTGGCTGCCTTCAAGCTGAGCAAGGGCAGATTTTGCTTCTACTTCCCAACCAGAAGCTTGCCCAGTTTAATCCCGGGGAAGGGGATTAAAATGGATCTAGGACGGGTCTTTCAGTGACTTTTGAAGCAGAGCCTCCCGATACAGGCACAGTATACCTCTGCCAAGGACAGAGAACCCTACTGTCTTTGGACCTGGGAGGCCCCCGGTGGAAGCCAACGCTCGGTCTCAATGGCCTCCCCTTTGTGAGGACCGGGGGGCTGTCCTCAATCCCACGATTACCCCCAGGGTCCAAAGCACCCACCCGCAAAGAGGCAAGGCAGCCCCATCCTCTCCCGTAGCCCTAAACTAGAGAGTAGGCAGCCGATTCCCGCACAAGCTTGACTACGATGCCCCTCCTGCGTCCCGCACCGACGGGCGGTGGGGAGGCACGGGTGCCCTTTCGTAAGCCCACAGGGCCGGAAGGAACCGATTCGTGACCCGCCGCCTTGAGGCAAGCGTCTTTGGAACCTCCTGCACCCCACTGACTGCCAAAGCATGAATTCGCCCCCAGAGAGGACCTCTGAGGATGGTGCCCACCCCTGCCACTCCCGGGGGGCGGGGAGGGCAGCGGAGAGGCCCCTGGGGACGCCGTCTTCATCAGGCGTGGTTAATCTGGAGCTCCTCCAACTCCTGGATCTTCTGCTCCGATTTCTTATCCGGGAGCAAGACCTCCACCGTGTAGCTGATCTTCTTGGCGTGGAGGTAGCTGTAGGTATTGTCAAAGCGAAGGACGTCTGCGCGGGCAGAAGAGAGAGACCGTTGTCACCCAGGACCACCGGCCCTGCTCAGCAGCTGGAGACCGTGCCCTTTCCCAGGGACCCCACTCAGCAATTCCCGGCGTTGCCCAACCCCTGAACCGTCGACTAGCCCGGGTTCCCCAAACTGGCCCATATCGATCCCCAGGGGCCGAGGGGACGATCCTAGGGGTCCACAAACGACCCGCCTACTGGAGAAGGACGTGGGTAAGCGTGATGAGTGTGTGTGTGAGAAAGAGCAAGTGCACATCGTAAGCAGAAAAGTGTTGCCGTTACTCTAAATTCACTGGCTCTCCGTGTATTCCAAAGAACCGCTTCTGCCTCAGTGCTCGGTTGGACGTGATCCGTGCGTGTCCCTAATTATTACTTTACTTATAATAATTATTTATAATCATTCTTTCCCAGCTGTTGACCAGGGCTGCGTGTCTCGCCTGCTCTCTGGGAAACCCTGAAAAAACTGAAAAGCTCCGTTCAGCAATTCCCGGCGTTGCCCAAACCCCGAACCATCGGCTAGCCCGGCTCCCCCAAAGTGGCGAAAGCGCTTTGGACAGCAAGGGGGGCTTACGGGATCCGCCCGGCCCAACAGGCTGGGAGGGTGCGAGTGAGTGGCCATAAGCCGGACCTGGGGGCGCCTGTGACAGCAGCCATACAATCTTTTAAATGAATAGACAAAGATAAGACACCCCGATAGAAATACAAGGAAGAACATTAAATATGAAATCCGCAGGAGCAGGAAAAGGGAAAGGGAAAGGAGCCAGCCGAGGCCACTCACAGATGCCGGCATCCGCGCAGGTGAGGCTGCCGTCTTCGGGGACCAGGTGGGCGTTGTAGCGCTGGTTGGGGTACACCTCGGTCATCTCCCCGGCGTGCTGGCGTGCCCCCACTTTGGTCTTCAGGTAGACACCAAAGCCTATATCGGCCCCGTCCGACATGAACTGCCACCTTGAATTCAGGGCAGAAGACAAACCCACAAGCATTTTTCTACAGCAGGGAAGAGCGTTCGGGCATTCAGATTCCTACTCCTAAAATGCAGAAACGATTGCAAACGGGTGTTTGTGAGAACGACCCCTCCATGTAGACCTAAGAGAGCAAAATGGGGGGAATGTCTGTCACCCCAGCTGGCTGGGTTTGTTCCACCGGGTAGGTTAGGCTAAAGTGGGGCTGAATTGCTTGTGCTATGGGAACCAGCCGCTTTCTCATTTGGAGGGGGGGGGAACCATGCCTCCCCCTTCCACCACCAGATGGTTTATTTGGGGATTGCCTGTCCTGTGAACCCAGCCACTCCCGTTTGTTAAACAAGGTTTAGTGGGTTGTGCGAAGGCAGCTCCTGGAGAAACACACCAGAGCACTTGTGAGAATGGGATAAGGGTAGTGTGGAAATCGTCTGCCCTCTCTTGTGCCCGGAGCAGACAACTCTGGGTGGCATCGGGTCAGTTAAACTTAGCAAATGTGTTTGCAAAACTCACAATGCTTGATCACTGTGGGTAGCTTAGCGGATGGTAAAAATCCACCCCGTTTGGTTGCTTTGGGATTCAGGCCCCTGTTCTGAAGACACATTTATCCCGGGCATTGCTAAGCCAGGCGATCTGCTGGCAGCACACAGCCACCTTAGCCTGGTCCAAAGTCGCCGCCTGGGGACCCTGAGGCCGCGACCCGCCCTCTTGATGAAGCGCTTGGCGTCCCTTGACTGCGTTTTGGTGTTCCCAAACCAAGGCTGACGGGGTGGGGTTCGTCTAACCCACTGCAAGACCGGGATGGCTTATGGCCAAATTTAATAACTTCAGAGTTAAATAATAGGCTCGACTGACCCCTTTGCAGGACTCCCATCCCACTGAGCCAGTCACAGGGGATATGATGGGTGAACCGCCAAGTGCTTAAAGCCAGCAAGCTAAGCGTGTCGTTTCAAGCTAGTCACCAAGTGATCGCATTAACGACATTTCATTTTCTCTTCGCAGGCCCGAAAAGGAACCAAATTTAATAAATAAATACTCATGTATTCAATGCATCTGCCATCCGACTCCCAGCAACTCTGGGTGGTTTACAAATTGTTAAAAACAAGGAAACCACGCAAAACAAATTGGGTGGTTTACAAATTGTTAAAAATGTTTAAAAACAAGGAAACGATGGAAAGCAAAAAAGAGCAGAGACTTCAAACTCAGACGCGAACCATGGGAAAGGTCTAGGCGAAATTTGGCTTTGCTTCTCACCTGCCCACTTCTTTGTCCCATGCTACCTGTCCTGGCTTGCCACTTAAGGGGAAAGCTTGAAATGCAAAACGTGAGGTGCCCCTGAAGCCACGGTCAGAACGCTGGTACAGGTAGTCCTTGCTTAACAACTCTTCATTTAACGATGGTCCAGAGTTATGACAGCCTTGGGAAAAATGCTTTATGACCCCTGCGGTCACGCGATCGCAATTTGCGACCTTTTTTACAATGGTCATTAAGCGAGTCACATGGTCATTAAGCAAATCACGTGGCCGTTAAGCAAATTCCAGCAAAATACGTCCATTAGGGAAGCTGAATTCGCTTAACAACCCTTGTAAGAAGGATGTAAAATCAGCTCCGATTCGCTTAACGACCAAATCTCTTAGCGACCTAAATTCCGGTCCCTATTGTGGTCGGATAGCGAGGAATACCTGTAGAAGAATCACGGGGTCAGAACCTGGTCAGCCCTGGGGCTCCCTGGGTGCTGCTGAACTGACACTTCTGAGCCAGCCTACCTCGCAGGTGTGGAAGGTGTGGAAGCTCGGGTGGAAGACCACCAGCTCTACACCCTCCTTCCTCTTCTCCCCACGCTGCTGAGGTCCACCCTGACCTACCTCAAGACGCAGCCGGGAAAGAGGATTTCGTATTCCAGCTGCTGGGTAGAGCCCCGGTTCACGATGACCGAATGCTCATACTGTTGCTTCAGCTGATCCCGCACGTAGTACTTTTTGGGGATATCACCACCGTGGTTTATCTGTAAAACGGAGATCATGAACAGCCAGAAGCAAGCCTAGAAGCAACCAGCCAGGAATTCTGGGAGTTGAAGTCCATACACCTGAAAGTTGCCAAGTCTGAAAAACACTGGCCCATCTCTTCGTTCTCCTGATGTCCCTCACGTGTCACTTTCCAGAAGGGTTTGTTCAACCATGGTTTCACGAACGAACCTCAACTGGCTGGATTTACACAACTCGTTCAGCCCCAAACCACAGGGTTTCTGAGCCACGACAGCCAGGTCTGCCGGGCTAAGACTGCACACAACCCCTTCGGTGGCCTTGTGTGTGGCGTATTTCTGTGTGGATATTGTAGCTGGCAAAACCATGTTTATGGCTTTGTGTGTTGCTTGAATCCCGCCACTGGCACTTACTCAACAAACCCTGGTTTAGCGTGAGTAAATCCAAGGATTGCCTATTTCTCCAGCTGCTTCTATGCCTCTCCAGCTGGTTTTGGTGCTTTCTTGCTCTTTCATTCATTCTGTAAATGGTGATTTTGGCAGCCACACTTTCTAACTGCTGGGGGCTAATTTTGCCAAAATTTCTGGTCTTAAGCGCCTGACAAATATCCATACCTTGGTCTCACATTTGGGGTTTCCATCAGGGTCCGTGAGGGTTCCCCCATATAACACGGGGATCTCTGCAGGGTCAATATATTTGTGTAAGTCTTCTTTCCAATTTGCTAGGGAGAAGTAAGAAGGACACTGTTTTCAATAGATACTCGTTCGTGGCTGTTGTGTGCTCCAAACCCCCTTCCTGGAATTGCACTGGAGCGTTGCACAGCCCGGTTGTCTACCGGCCCTAATAAATTAATAATAATTTCTTTAAAACCTCCACGAGTCTGTGGGCTAGAAGCCTAGGTGTTTTTCAACAAAATAAAATTGAAATATATTGCACATAAAAGAGCTGTAAATGAAAAAGGCACACCTCAAACATTAAAGTAAATGAATTAAAATAAATACAAAATAAAAGAACATGTGGAGCCTGTTAGATCTCTGATGATTTGCAGTAATGGAAGGAATGTGGACTCTCGGTTATTTACATGCAGAAACAAACTCAGTAACCAGGTTAAAGCATGTGTGTGTGAACGCAGCCATCAGGTCAACCCTGCATAGAACAGATCATTT